GTTGGGGGGAGGGGGCCCAGGAGAACCTGAGAAATGGCCCTGAGATGAATGGTTTGAGACCCCTGCTGTAGCTCTCCCATTTGTGCCTTAGGCAGAGCGGAGGACGACCAGCCCTTGTGGCCCTTAGCCGAGGCCTCGGGTGACCTGGGTGCAAATCTGCCTCGGCCGTGTCCATCTGTGCGACCTGGGCACATTGCACGTGAGCACCGTGCCTCAGTTTCCCAGCTGTGGAAAGGCCTTAAGCCAACTCTCCTACTGCACAGAAAGCCTCAGGCTGAATACCTCCAAGACAGGGCTGTACTCAGCTGTGAGGGCCCCTGAAGGGGCAGGCGTAGAGGTACCAAAAACGCACACAGAGGACTGCTGCTCAGCAGGCCAACATGAGGCTAAAACTGTGGGCCAGCTCCCCCCACCAAGTGACTCAAACGGACCTGTGGCTATTAACACCAGATCTATAGAAACAGCCGTACCGAGTGTGCTGGCCTGCGTGACTAATCGTACCGAAAACAGAGCGGGCTGGCAAGCCAGCTTTTACTGTTTGTGGTCCTTTTGCCTCCCAGGCAAATAAACTAGCCAGTTTCACCTGTGTTGATGGTCAGTTTCACCTTTTTACACCCAGAACCCCATCAGGTTGGGTGAGGCAGGTGAATGTTTATTCCTGTCTTGCCAGGGTCAGTGATGCTTAGGCTGTGTCTAGACTGGCCAGTTTTTCCCGAAAATCAGCCGCTTTTCTGGAAAAACTTGCCAGCTGTCTACACTGGCCGCTTGAATTTCCGCAAAAGCACTGACTTCCTATTGTAAGAAATCAGTGCTTTTTGCAGAAATACTGTGCTGCTCCCATTCGGGCAAAAGTCCCCTTTGCGCAAAACTTTTGTGCAAAAGGGCCAGTGTAGACAGCTCAGATTTGTTTTGCACAAAAAAGCCCCGATCGCGAAAATGGCAATCAGGGCTTTTTTGTGGAAAAGTGCGTCTAGATTGGCCACGGATGCTTTTGCACAGAAGTGCTTTTGCGGAAAAATGTCCGTGCCAATCTAGATGCTCTTTTCCAAAAATGCTTTTAACAGAAAACTTTTCCGTTAAAAGCATTTCCGGAAAAACATGCCAGTCTAGACGTAGCCTTAGTGGTTTGCAAAAAAGTGTCTCATAAAAAAACCCCTCAGTTTGGGGGGCTAAGTTGATCTGAGAATTCTCCGTGGGGCAGGATTTGCAGTTACGTGAGGTACCTTCCAAGAGGCTCAGGCATTGTGATCAGCAACATATTTGTTTTCCCCCTATAGGCTGTTGTTAGCGGCAACTAGCGTGTGTGTGTGTGTGTGTGTGTTTGATTCAGCATGTTTTGTGTGTGCGTCTCTCTCTTTCTCTCTCTATGGCCATAGAGGGCAGGGGCTGAGGCTGAGAACTGAGTAATTGTCCTGCCCTGGCCTTCGTTCATAGGCTCTATGGCTGGCTCCCTCCCACACACGCAGAGGCACAGGTGTGCATGCACACGCGTCCACAGAGGGACATCTACACAGACACGATTCCTCCCCCACCCACCCCCAGCCAGTGCAGACAAAGGTGGGACAGAGCCGGGGCAGAGAACTGCATCCTCAAACCATCTAGAGTGGGGGAGGTGCCGCGGAGAGTGCGAGCGAAAAAAGGGTTCCTGTCCCTTTAAGCGGCTGTGGCATTAGGGCACCCCTCCCTTTACGTGCAAAAACCGATCATGTGATGCTGCAGAAACTTGGCCTGGACCCGAAGCTGTATCCGTGCCAGGCCTCACATGACCAAGCTGTTTGAATGGGACTTTTCATGGGCAGCGCTGGCCGACACTGGCCGCTTGGGCCCAGAGCTCGGAGCCCGGGCAGCTCGCAGCTGTGGGGAAATTGGACTCCGGGGCAGGCATCCGCCCTGCTGCCTGTTCATTATGTGGGTATTAATGGCACAGCGGCAGCCATTCTGCCAGCCGGTCACACGGGCTAATGCCGCGGAACTTGGGCCGCTCCCAGCATTGGCTGTGGCCCGTCACCCGTGTGCTGCCTCAGTTTCCCCACCTCGCACCCTCGAACCACCCACAGCCACCACATGCTTTTCATTGCATGGGGGGTGGGCCAAGCACCGACAAGGTTCGAATGTGAAGGAGGCATGACGCAGCAGAGTCCCCGTGCGGTTTCCACGGAAACCGCGGTGCCGTATGCAAACTGCGCGCACCCACGTGCGTGAGTGCCTGATCTCCGTCCTGTAGAATTGATGTGCACCAAGGACGGGCCACGGTGCCATCGTCTCCCACTGCGAGGCCTTTGCCCGTGACAGCCGAGCGGAGGACAGGGCGGCGTTTGGGCGGATCTCTGCTCCGGCTGCTTGGGAACAGAGTGGCGCCCAGTGTGGCTAAGAGAACCCAGACGGAGCTTGTGCACCATACAAGGCACTCGGGCCCGGTGCCGGTTCCTTTGGCCCTGCTCTGAACGCGCCTTCTTGCGGCAGCAGGCCCGAGACAGGTGAAACGTGGCGCTTTGGGTTTGAGAACTGCTGGGATTGGAGGGGTCGCAGGAATTTTCACAGGGGGAGGGTGTTCCTGGCCCTTAGAGTGGGCAGCGCAGGCAGAAATAGCTTACAGCAAGATGGGGGTGAGCCTGCTTTGTCTCCCTCTGGCTTCACGTCCCGGAGGCTAAGAACAGGCGCGGTACACTGCAAGCTAGCGTGTGCCCAGCCCCACACCGACTGGCCCTGCAGAACCTGGGCTTTAAAGCAACCGTGCGTGAAGCCTTGAACCCCCCTAACGGCTGGGCACCCCCGGGACCTCAGCGTGCGCCGAATACGGTTTGGGGGGGATGGTTTCGTCCTGGCTCGCTGTGTGCGCCAGAGCCGCTCGCTCACCCTTGCCTTGTCCTGTCCCTGTCCAGAGGTTCCTGCGCAGGAAGCCGCCATGTCAGCGCTGTACCCGTCCCTGGAGGACATGAAGGTGGATCAAACCTTGCAAGTAAGAGGCTGGGTTTTGGGGCTTGTTGGCACCAAGCTGGAGGAGCTCCGGGGAGGCCCTGTCTGCATGACGGGGCGATGACGATGCGCCATCAGCTGACCGTGCCGCGCGTCCCTCTTCGAGTGAAGGCCTCGGACACTGAATGCGCAGGGTCACCTCGGGGCTGGGGCTCAGCACCCTGCCTGGAGAACGCGCCTCTCAGCTGATTACACTGAGCTGAAAGGG